CTACACAGCGAGTGGTTTCCAGAGGCTGATAGGAGCGGGTGATGGGGAGTGACTGCGAATGGGTAGGGCGTTTCCTTCTGGGGCGCTCAGAATGTTCCGGAGCTAGGTAGCGGTGACGGCGGTACAACACTTTGAAAGTACTGAATGTCACTAATGGTAAATTTCATGTGTATTTTATCACACTTTTTAAAAGGTCATAAAAAGACATTATTTTAAAAATTGTGAAATCTGACGTTGCTGTTTTTGTTTTGACAAACATACTGTGATTATGTAAGATGTTAACATTAGCTGGGTGAGGAATTATGGAAACTGCAACTTTTCTGTAAATGTAAAATTCCAAAATGAAAATTTTATTTTAAAAAATATGAAAAAATATGCCAATTTTTTTTAAGCTAATATCTTTGTGTGTGTGTTTTGTGTTTCTATATATCTATCTTTCATCTTTTAGAATGTAAGTCCTTTGAGGGCAAAGGTATGATGTGGGTCTTTGATATTATTATTATTATTTTTTTTTTAACACCTACAGTACCTAGGTGGTCTCCCATCCAAGTACTAACCAGGCTCAACCCTGCTTAGCTTCCGAGATCAGATGAGATCGGGTGTGTTCGGGGGGGCATGGTCATAGACACTTTGGTATTATTTTTTTCCAGCTTTACTGAGGTATAATTGACAAATGAAAATTGTATATATTTAAGGTGTGTAGCACGATGATTTGGTATACCCATACATTGTGAGTTGACCACAATCAGGTAATTAACACATCTATCGCCTCACGTAGTTACCATGTTTCATGTGTGTGGTGAGAACATGTAAGATCTACTCTTAGCAAATTTTGCATGTACAATACAGTACTGGTAACTGTAGTCACCATAGTATACATTAGATCCCCAGAACCTATTCATTTCATGGCTGAAAGTTTGTAACTTTGACCAACATTGCCCCATTCCCACCCCTCCCACCCCAAGCCCCTGGCAACCACTGTTCTATTCTCTGCTTCTTTCTTTGAGTTTAACTTTTTAAAGATTCACGTATAAGTGAGATCATACAGTATTTATCTTCCTGTCTGACTCATTTCACTTAATGCAATGTCCTCCAGGTTTATCCACGTTGTCGCAAATGGTAGGATTTTCTTTTTCTAAGGCTAACAAATACTCCATCATTTGTGTATACCACTTTTCCTTTATCCATTTATCCACCACGAACACTTAGGTTGTTTCCACATCTTGGCTGTTGTGACTAATACTGCAGTGAACATGGGATGCAGATCTCAAGATACTGATTTCATTTCTTTTGAAGGTATTATTCTTAAAATGCTAGTAAGATTATTAGATTTTAAACATTCAACAACTGAGTTCTGTTTTTCTGAAGAGCACTAAGTAGATCAGGTCTTCAATTAAGGTCTCTGGCCGCTGTAGAACTGGAGGGCACTTGGTGATAGCCTCTCGTCAACCCAAGAGTAATGGCGTTCGGCCACTTCAGGCCTGAGGTAATGTCGAAGCAGCACCAGTTTCCATTTTTCGCCTTATCCAGTCTACTCTCTATGTTCAGTTATTCATGTGGTTCAATTATTCTGAGATCTCAAGGGAGAGAGGAAGGATTTAAGAAGGAAGAGAACCAACACAGCTACGTACTTTGTGTGGCATACAGTATGTAGGAGCGAATAATTCTGTGATAAAGACAAAGATGCCTGATAAGAAAGAGTCATGAAAATGCTGTGTGTGTGTGTATGTGTGGTGTGTATGAGAGAGAGAGAAATGGTTACTAATATTTTAGAAATGAATCTTCTTGAAAGCCTTTAATGAAATGGCCGATTTCCTTCTCTTTTTGAACTTGGGAAAAACATTCCAGTTTCAAGTAGGCCTGGTTATTGCCCATTAAAAAAATATCCCTTTATTAGCATCCTCAGGTATTGCTTTGCTCCATGCATAACATACTTTTCATTTTTCTTTCTAAAAGAATCTGAAATAGGTTAAAATTTCTAAACTAAAACCTTGGAAACTACAGTCCTTGGTACATGACTTTGTATATAGTCACATTCCAGTAAGTGGAGTCTGTTGTCTAATAGAGATTTGTGGATTGACTCATACTTCTTGAACTGTTAGCTTCACAGATTCCCTGGCCAAAAAGTATACAGATGTAGAAATAACTAGCATTTTTGGAAATAGGGTGATGAGGGCTCTATACATTTACAAGGACTGGTGGGATTGGGACAGGACAAAAAAATGCCTAATGAGAGAAATAAAGCTAGGATGATGACGAAAGAAAAAATGAGAACTCAGCCAGAACCAAACAGCTCTTTCTCTGTTCATTTAGAATACTTTTGTAGGTCTGGTAGTTAACTCTAGAACCATATGTGGCTACGCATGTTTAATAATTATAAATATTTAACCTTAATAATTAATTTTACTCAAGTTCACTTGTAGTACGAATCTAAATTGTGAATAATTCATTCTACGGCATGGGATCACCAAATCTCAAGTAATCCCTTATATTTATTTAATTTTAAATTAAAAGAACCACCTCAGCTGTTAAGTAATAGAACCTGGAATCCAGGTTCCTACTACTTGTTCATGTAGTTTTTAAAAGGGCGATAGCGGCTGTGTAACAAATTGCTCCTGATGTAAGAGCTTAAAGCCATGAACGCTTATTCTCTCCCACAGTTTGAGGGTCAAGAATGTGGGAATGATTGAGTTGGGTCATTCTGGCCCGGGGTCTAACGAGGTTGTAGTTGAGCTATTGGGTGGGGTGACTGGTCAAAACTTGCCTGGGACTGTAGGACCCACTTTGAATCTCCCTCATATATAGTTTTTGGCATGTCTCAGTTCCTTGAGGGCTTTGGCTGGTGGCCTCTGTTCCTATGGGCCTCTCCATAGGCTTCCTGAATGTTCTTATATGACAGAGAGTGATTTAAGTGAGCAAGCAAGCGAGTACCCAAGGTGGAAGATGCATGGTCTCTCACAACCTAACCTTGGCGGTGAAATGCCACCACTCTGCCATATGCTATTAGTCACACAGAACAACTGTGGTCCATTTTGGAAGGTGACTGACCCTACAAGGGTGTATCAGGAAGCAGGATCAATGGGGGCCATCCAGGAGGCTAGCTACCACAGTGGCAATCTAATCTCACGTATTTATATTCCATTAGGTCAGCTTTAAAGAATGACATAACAGTTTTAATTTTAAATGTCAGTATTTACATTACGCTGGAAATTTCAGTCTTTGCAACTAGTTACATTTATGATGAAAGAAATTTTAATGTAGGGGCCACATATTTTTTAAAAATTCTTTTGGGTGTAAAAGAATAAAAGTTTGAAGACCAATGGCTCACATTACTAGTTGCTCTAACATGTCCTTCTTATATTCCTCTGGCTCTTTATCTCCCCTCACATGGTGCTCTTTTATCTTAAAGGTATGGACAATTGATTAGTGAAAGATAAACCTCAAATTGGAAATCATAACTTGGGTCCAGAATCGTGAATGGGAAGGATTACTTGAAATCTAGACTGTCCCTGGAAATCTAGGGCTTCTGGACATGAATAAATGGATCAGGTTTACTTTTTTAAAATTGGCATTTATGAAACAGACAGCTAAGTGCCTTCTATGAAGAAGGCACTGTAGAACTGTGGGAGGACACTAAAAGATGATCTAGGATCTACTAAAGTTATAAGCTGGAGATACAGTGCTTGATGCTCAGAAAATAAGATGACGTTTTTATTGTATTAAGAATTGTACAGAACTGTTACGTTTTTATGGAAGAATTTTTAAAAATCATATACAATTTGCAGAGGTAAAATTCGGCTTACATTTTGATTAGGTATGCCATTAATGTGTACGTTTAATACCTTAAATGAACAGACCAGGTTCAGTTAAGCCAAAATGCACAAAGCCGGTCATTATGGATAACTGTCAGAAAAGATGCTGAGATTGTACCGAGGCATACAACGAACTTAAATTAAACTGGACCATAGTTTGAGTATTTTATTAGGAACTAGCCTTGAAATTTGACCAGGTAGAGCTAGTATTTTATTCCTAGCAATTTACCATTTCATGTTGAATAGACTGTCTCACTCGCTCTTAAGTGGAAAATGTTATGTCCTACGTGCATAAATTTTAGTTGAATCAAAATAATATATATCCAACGTTATTAGAATGTTTTATTCAGTACAATAAACACTGAACTACACAGCTAAAATTATGCGGATTGCAGAACAAAACAAACTGCCTTGGGGAATTTGCAGTCTAAGCTAAAGTGATCAGGCAGAGTTGAATTAAAGTTAGTTGGAAGATTCCAGCTCCTGTATTCACATAGAGTTAGGTCTAGGATTCTAGTTTCTGGAAGTGCTTGCAGACCCTCAACCTACGACGGGGCCAACAAAAAAACGTGCAGTAAGGAATGAAGCTCGTTTACTTCCCTCCACAAAGCCTTTTCGTTACAAGGGACGGAGGCCTGAGACGTAGCTGGTGGTCCGAGGCTGGCTGCGGAAAGCCAAGCACGACATCGTTTTTGGGTCTGGCCACAGGCTTCTCCGGGAACACGTGCTTCTCGGGGGACAGACGCAGCGCCTCCTCCCGGAAACCCGTCCTACGTCCTCGGCACTTTGTTAGTTGTTGGGTCCTCAGCCGAAGCACACCGGGCCAGACACGCCTCCTCGTCCGCCCTGGACCCCACGGCGGTTTCTACGGCTCGTTTAGTAAAACTGTTAACAGGGACCCTAACCAGATAGGGGACCAAACGAGGGAGAAAGCCAGACGTGCCCGAGGGCCTGTTCACGAGATCCAGCCTCCCTCGCAGCGGTCACCCCGGGACAAAGGCGAGGCGGGGCTGGGTCGAATCAGGACGTCGCGAGCCGCGTCCGGATAGGCGCCTGCAGAGTCCGGAAGCGGCGGAAGGGGGCGGGCGGAGGGGCGGGGCGAGCGAGGGCCTCCCGGCATGCCGCGCGGCGCTCGGCTTCCGGCTGTGGGCAGGGCGGGCGTCGGTGACGGCCGGAAGTGGGCTGAGCCGGTCTCTTGAAACGCTGCCTGCACTTCCGGGGCCTCGAGCCCGGCCCTAGTCTTCCCGTAGGCGGCGCGGGAGGGAAAAAGGTTTTGAGGGGCCGGGCAGAGCCCTTCCTCCCCCAATGTGAGTAGTGTCCCGAACCTCCGTCAGGCGAAGGCTGCCCAGAGAGGTGGAGCCGGTGGCCGGGCCGGGAACATGAGGCAGTGTCTCCTCTTCCTGACCAGCTTGGTTCCTTTCGTGCTGGCGCCGCGACCTCCGGACGAGCCGGGCTTCAGCTCCCCCCAGCGACTCGGTAAAGACCCAGTGGTGTTGGCTTAGGCCGGCGCCGGGCGTCTGGAGCGCGCTGCTTCTAGGGAAGAGCCGCGGAGCAGGGTCAGGTGTTTGGGGGCGGGGTGTGTGGGACAACTGTGGCGCGTCCCGAAGTTTTCAGTGTATGAAGGGGGTGTGGCACTCGGAGTTTAGGGACTGGATGGAGACAGACTTGTTTCTGAATGGGAAAGGGATACTGGAGGGGGCCCCCGGTGGTAACAGGAGGGGCCTGCTCCCTGGGTCTGTGTTCCAGAAAGAGGTAAATGGTCGTGGGGGTGGGGTGCTGGCTCGTGTTGGAAAGGGAGACGTGGTGCATGTCCCTGCCCCACTGAGGTGCTCCTGCCCACGGCAGGACTCGCGGGGAAGATAGTAGAGCCCACAGCTCCACGGCCCTTCCTGGCTCCCCAAGGGGCAAACCAGAATTTCTGCTGTAGCGTAGGAGGTGGTTATGCAGCGATCTAGTTGGAAGGCGGCGATCGGAAAACTCAGCTTGGAATTGGCGTTTTGTGAACATCGTAAGCATCTACTTCGTTATTTAAGTTGTAACTTGTCGGAGGTGCTCGGGGTAGGCAAGGAGTGGTGGCGGCGTTTAAATCTGCCACGCCGACTCTTGATTGAGGCTGCTGTGAATGCCTTCCTTGCCATGGTAAAGAAATTTGATCAGTATTGAGCCTAGAAAGAAAGTTCTTATTTAGATTTTCTGAAGAGATTGAATTTTAAGGATGGAGGTAACATTAAGCGATTCGAAGTTTGGTGGAAGTTAGTTTGTGTAAACTTATACTTTCTGTTAGGGTTCTTTATCTTTCAAAAGTTGACATATGAGGTAGTTTGATTAATTAGTAATAAAGTATGAAACGTGTTTTCCCAGTGTGCAAAGTTGTAGCTTCAGCGATTTTTCACGGTTGTGTCGGTTCCCAAATCCCGTCATGATTCATCATACGGTATCGTGCAGATTGAAGCAGCATGTCAGTTTTACAACTAAAAATTTCGCACTAGTTTACCTGGCAATTCCTTTTTTTTTTTTTTTTTAATTTAATGGGCAGAAATTGTCATTGATATTATTAAACGTGTTGCATATTCTCACCTGAACAGCTGCTTTGTGGTTATCTCAAATTGAAATGGATTACAGGTGACTAGTTTAATGAAAGCCAAGGGAGCTTGATAGGTAGTGCACAATAGAAATTGAAGGAAAATTTTGAGATACGGGTGGTTAGGATGAAGGAGAGGGTTAGGGTAAGGATCCGCTCCATAGGGATTAATGTTAATAAAAATAAGCATTATTTTGAAGGCTTAAAATTTTCACTATAATACAACTGTTTCATCTTTATTATTCTGTTCACAGAAGGAAAAATAAGTAGCATGAATGCTAGGGATGCACATAGGATAGAGGAAAACCTTATATTCTAGATCAATTACCAACAACATTGAGATATTATAAAGGGTGTTTTTGACCACGTGTTTTTTATTTGTGAAGTGCAGACCACCAATGCCAGAAAAATGCACAGACTTTCCCATTTATTCACCAGATGTTTGAAGAACACAAACTGTATGCACATATGTGTGGCATTGGAAATACCAAGATCAGACAAAATCCATCTTCAAAACACTTTTGTCATAGTGGAATAGAGAGATCCAAAATGACAATTCTAAAGCAATCTGGAGGAGAGTAATAGAGCACAAAATCTTGCAGGTATTGTAGTATCACGAAGGGGCACTGAACCTAGCCTGTAAAATGAACCATGGCTCCCTGAAGATGATGTTTTAGCCCAGACTTTAAGGTTAGGCGAAGAGGGAAAGTAAGCCAATCCCTGACGGGAACACTGAGAGACCATAAGAGTTGAAATGAACCCTAAGGATCGTGTTTAGTTTTTTTGTCTTTTTTTTTTTTTTTAAGCGGTGGGAAAAACTGAGTCTCAGAAAGGTGTAACAAGTTGTCAGGTTCACTTAGTTAGTGATAAATGTATGTCTTGTGGGTTTTTCTTCTTTTGAAGAGAATTGACTTTTCGCGTATGTTTGACCACTCAGGGTATAATTTGTTGCTTAACTTTAACCCTACTATTATTTAGATTTAATCGGTCAAGACCAATGAATAATTTCATAAAGAGCATGGTTTATTGTTCATTAGCCTACTGATCCTATAAATGTTACTATAATCACAGTACTAAATACTGGTTAGGGATGTGACATTTTCCGAAGGACAAAATATATAAGAGAATCCTGGCTTTTGGAGTACTCCATAGGTCACCCAAAATGATTTTAATTGAACTGTTATGAATTGCATAATTTAGGAAAGTTATGAGTCATGTGAGCTTAGTCAGGATGATATCTTGTTGAAGTTGCGGCTGGGGCGTATAAGTCTCACTTTGATTTCGAAAGTAGTTTCCCTTTGTATTACTTTTAGTAAATGAGGATGTAGTGGGCGGAAGGAAAATATATAGGTCACAGATGAGGGATGAAAGCTTGTATCTGAAATATATATTTAGAAATTTATCTTGAGGTTATTGGTGTGGGGATTCTCCACATTGCAATGCTCATTTCTCATTATTATTATTTTTTAGGCGAGGCAACCCTTGGTTGACCTCACAGATTGCAAGGACCTTGTCAGCTTACAGTCCCTTATTTTTTTTATTTTTTACGCCTACAGCACCTGGTCTTCTTAGGTGGTCTCCCATCCAAGTACTAACCAGGCCCAACCCTGCTTAGCTTCCGAGATCAAACGGGATTGGGCTTGTTCAGGGTAGTATGGCCGTAGTCACTTCTCATTATTGACAGCACCATTTTGCTAAGTATTTTGACATCTGGCTTCCTCTTTTGATGTTAATTTTGCTTACAGGCTGCATTCCTTTGGAACTCAAACACGTAACCCTAACTGTTCCAAGGGAGTGTTAATGCAACTCTGCTTTATACAGTCAGATAAATTTTATTTCTAGGATAGAAGTTAAGCAGAGAGCCATGGTGGGGAAACTGAAGAAATCCTTTTGGCCTTTACAAGGTTTTCCAGAACCTTAAGCATAGGTGTCCTTCAAGGCCAAGTGTGGTTGACTTTGGAGTCTTCATTATCTTTATTTCTGAGAGATGGTGTTTCTAGTTGGAAGTATAATTTGAAGAAAGTATGAAAAAGATTGGTAGGGAAGGAGGGACCAGAATAGGTTTCACCGAGATAAGGAAGTGAAATTAAGTGCTTTTTCGTATATCCCTTAACTTAGTCCTGAAACCAACCAAAGAGATGGGTATTTTCCGCCACTTTTTACCATTAAAAGAAATTGTTTTTTTATCCTTTTAACATGAGTTGTAGGCTCTGACAAGTCTCATCTGCCTGGTTTCACTTACATTGGACTGTGTTCTAATAAATTCCTGACGTAGACTTGTTCACCGAAGTTCCACACTCATGTATCCAACTGCCCAGGTGATGCTTCCACCTTGGTGTTCACGGACACTTCACATATGACATGTCCAAAATGACTTTTCTATTCGCTGGACTGAAGAATGAACGTTTTAGTCTGGGACTAGGCAGGGGCGCTGGAGACCGTGAAAGCAGTCTCATTGCCTAACCTGACTTTGCATCCCTCTCAGCTACAGAGCCTTATGGACCTATCCAGGTCTCTTCAGAGGTTCCATTGGGCTGTGCTGACTTTCATTCGGGCTTAGTTTCCATGTGACTGATCTTGCTGAAGAGTCTTGGCCTGGGTTAAGTCTCAGCCCTGGTGAAGAGCTCTTTATAGGGAATTATTTGCAGTTGCTCATCCTCCACTCTCCCTAATTGGTATACAGCCATAAAATCAAGTTTTTGGTGTCCAGGCTCTTGGGTCCGCTGTCTAGCAGAGATCAGTGCTCTCCTTTCCTCATCACTGAGTTCCAAGGAGGGCCTCACCCACGCCCAGGGCTTACTGCCCAGTAACGTGGCCAGGTCATCCCCCTGTTTTGCTTGTTTTGGGGAGTGCCGAAGAGCAGTCAGATTCGTGTGTCTTCTGCACAAGCAGAATAAGCACTTAACAGCAGTCCTGGCTTTATCTTTTCCACTCTGACACCAGAAGTAGGAGCATGGCACTGATAGTGTCGTTTTGGGGGAACACTTTGTTTTCCGTGCAGCAGCTGTTGAGAGTGAGCAGAGAGCTGCAGGGGTTCTGCATCATACTTTCAAGTCGTATTCCACGAAATGGAATTTATTGCAAAGAAAAGAGGAATTAAGTAAAAAGTCCACAAATGTTCCCAGATGCTTCTCATACAATACTTCATTGTTTAAAAGTCAGTTTTATTTTTAAAATGTTGACTCTGGGCTCGATGAAAACAGTATGGGTATACTTTACGTCATGACACCAAAGTCAGCGGCCACAAGAGCTGATCCTGAGGACAAAACAATTTACGGATGAAAAGGGTGGGTGGAATGTTTATCACATCTTCTGTAGGCCACTCCACACCTACATCCAGAAAGCTGAAGGTCCAGCTTTTATTCTTGGAGAACAAATACAAGGGACAAAGTATCAACTGCTTTTTACCGCTGATGTCTGTGTTGAAAGTCATACAATAACAGATTTACTCTCCTCGCCTAAAATCACTGTATGACTTCTCAGTGACATAATTGCAAACATGGTGCAAAAGAGTCCTGTGTAAGTGACCAGTGTAATTGCAGACTGCATATAAGGAACAGGTAGTCTGGACTCCAGAATGCGTCAGCATCCCACTTTCCTCTTATATCAATCCCTCCTCCAAACTTGCTCCTATTAATCTCAGTGAATGTGGTACCACTGTATACTCAGGTACCCAAGCCAGAAACCTGGGGGTCTTTTTGTCACCTCCGCCTGGATTGCTCGGCTTATTAGCTGCTTTCCCAGACTCTAGTCTGTTTTCCTCCGCCCATTCTTCACACTGCAGTCCCAGTGAAATTTCTCTAACAGCTGTGGCCCTTATCCGACGACCAAATCCTTAATTTAGGTCCATGGCTTCTAATGACCAGACCTCTGTCTTTCTCTCCAGTCTCACAACTCTTCACACCCTTTGTGCCGTTCTGCTCTCCAGTCTGAGCTCTTTGATTTCTCTGAGGAGTATTCCGATCTGTGTTTCTCACGGACCTCAGCATATGTTATGCCCTCTACTTAGAGCCTCCTCCTTTCGTTTCCCCTTCTCTTAGCTTCCTCCTCATACTTTTGGTTCTTCAGTGCTGTGTCCCTGGGAAAGCATCCTTGGCTCACCGGGCAGGGCTCCTGCTCCGTCTTTCTCCAGCTTCCTCTTCCTTGGCGCTTGACGTACTTATAATAATTTTTACGTGGTGGTCTTTCCACCAATGTCAGCATCAGAAGTATATTTCTCTTTCTCTCCATTACATCCCTAGTGCCTGGAAAGTAGGAGGTTTTCAATAAATATTTTTTGAATAAATGAATAGGTGAGGTCTGGGGGAAGGGAGAAAAACTAAGTACAGAATGTATATGCAAGAAAGGGGTGAGGGTGGAAAAGGTACAGAAGCAGTGAAGAAGGGTAGGGTCTCTAAGGACAACTAGATAGAGGAAGCCGAGTGACAGAAAGCGTGTGGCAGAGAACAGGGAGGGATGGGTAGGGGACCACCTATATAATATAGTACTCTAGTCTGACCTTTTGAGTTACGTTGTTTTCTAATTCGTGTTTGTAGCCAGCTGAAATGAGAAAAGCTCAGTAGTTTCAGGTGATTGCTGGAGTAATCTGTAGAAATGAAAGAAGGTGTTCTCATTCTAGAGAGTGCTGGACAGCCATCGTGGAGTTTTTAAAAATAATATGACCCTACACTGAGCTAAGATAGTTAAGTGGTTTATACTTAAGTTTATTGAGAGATTTGAGTATGGATAAAGGATACAATCTCTCGGGAGATGGGGAAATATAAATTCTGTTTTAAAAAAAGCTATAGAAAATTGAGACTACCAATGGTTGAAATTTGGGAAATGAAGTGCAATGAAATACTGAGTATCTGAGAGGTTATGGGGCCAGTAGCAAAAGCAGGTCAGTTTGTTGGACAGGGGAGTGCTTTTACCATGTTGTTTGGAATGGTTCCAGGACATCCATTTTGAGATATCTAGTTATTAAAAGAAGATAAATTAAAATAGAAACATTGTTTTAAAGTGCTTTAGCAAGCTACATTTAAAAAGTACTCGTTATAGAGAAAGTGCACCTAAAGATAACCAGCAATGTTACTGTCTTGTTCTTCTTATTTTTTTCTAGATCTATTTTTTATTAATAGATAATCATGCAATTGAAGTTTTTTTAAATCCACCTTTGTTTAGTATTATAAGTATTTACTATGTTCTTAAAAACCTGTTAACAGCATTTTAAATGATTGTCAATTTTTTTTTGTCATTTAGAAGTGCTATAACTTACCTATTTCCCAGTTATTACCTTGTTTCTGATTTTTGTTAATAAAAATAATGCAAGGCCGGACAGTGAACATCTTTGCGTTCGAGGTTTTTTCTTTGCTGTTTCCTGCTTTAGCCTAGGCCAGTGGTTCCCAGACTCGAACGTACATCAGCATCACCTCGAAGGCATGTTAAACATAACTTCTGGTTTTCACCCCAAGAATTTCTGGTTGAGTAGGATAGAGAGGAGGCCTGAAATTTGGCCTTTCTAGTATGTTCTCAGGTGCTGCTGATGCTGCTTGTGTGGGGAGCACACTTTGAGATCCACTGACCTACCTTATTGACAATGAAACTACAGTATTGAGGTTGTTTCTCAGTCAGTAGGAGTGATTATGATCTTGAATGAAACTGGGTGCGTGTACTAACCTGTATCAGGAAGTTGAAGAGTGAAAGATTGAATCAGCATCTCAGCCTTGAAAATGTGTGCAATTTGTGAACATAGGAGTACTGTTTTGTGCAAGATTCTCTGCTGGGTATTGTCAGGTAAGGATCCTGTGGTGAGTAAAACAGAGTTCCCTTTTGGCCACTTTATAATCCATAAATCTGTGAGATAAGACAGATGTAACTCCAAAGTGCCAGAATAAAGATATAAGAAAAGGGCTTCAGAATTCGGAGGGAGGCGAGATCATGTTTTGTGGACAGGTCAGAAAGTAAGAGGCCAAGAAGTAGAAGGTCCCAAGAAGAGCTAGACTATTTTTAAGGGGTTTCACAAGTATGACATCAGTAAAGCTTGGTGTTTTCAGCCAGGCAGGCCCAAAGTTCAAATCCTGGTTCTGTACTACATTCGCTTTGTGATATTCTCCCTGAGTTTGTTTCTTCATCTGTAAAACGGAGATAATACCCTAGAGATGTTTGTGGAGGTAACATAAAAGTACCCAGTGTGGTGTCTTGTATCAAACACTCAAAAATTGTTGAGTAAATGGTAAGCTTCTCGAAGGTTTTTTGTTGGTGCTGCTAAGCATTATAATTAGCAAGGCCAAACCACCACTAACCGTCCATAGGCATAAAAGTGATTCATGCTTCCTGAAACAGTTTTTCTCTGGATTCAATTTAAGAGGAAATTTTGTTAACAGAAAATGGGTGGTACCCAGCAAGTGTGAAATTTGCTGCCACCTTCTTTAGTCTTGTTTTGAGTTAGACCCTTGAGTGGACTTTGATTAAATTTACACCTTTGCCATCTTCAGGTTTATACTCTGAGGCATTTTTCCTTCGACCTGTCTATAAACTGGCCCTTCCTGCTCCCTTTCTCAGCTATCCTGCTTTAAGTCCATGGCATTGACATATATTTTCCTTTGCATTGTCTGTCTCTCACACTAAAATGAATACTGTTAGGCAAGGACTTTGTTCTGTTTAATGCTTTATCTCACTACCTGGACCAGTGCCTGGCACATAGCAGTGAATGAGTAAATTGATGAACCAGTTGAGGAAATTTTTTTAGGGGAAGAAGAAGATTATTGGGTCGATTCTTTCTTTTAAACATGGATTTGTGAGCACATTTAACCTCAGGAGCAATACACTTGTATTTTGAGCTCCTGCTACTGTATTTTGAAGACATTCTAAGTCCAGAGGAATGATTTTGAATATCATTGCTTCTGCAGTAATATTTGTTGAGAGAAAAGGAATGCTTCAGCTCAAATATTTTTAGGCAGTTTCTACAAAGACTAAGTCACCAAAATTGTATTCCAAGAATCCTCCTGATTTTGGAAGAGGCAGCAGAGTTGCTGTTGATGAAACCTGCTTAGGGATAGCATGTACTTTACAGTATTTACTCTTGCTCTCTACCAAGTAACTTTTCGTGCTTGTTCTATCTTGGGGCAATGCATCTTTGCTTTTCTTGGGTTCCAAGTAAGTCTGGTAAAATAACTAATGTTTTTTTTTCTAGGAATTAGTTTGGTTGTCTTCTTCCTGGTGTCCAGTGGATTGCTACTCTGCCGTATCCGTTGAGAGTAGCAGTTGTAGGGATGTTGCCACTTTTTTTACTCTTTAATTTGGAATATGCGATTTTTCTGTAAAATATTTGCTTTCCCAGTTTTGGTTTGCTCAGGCCATTTATACATTTGTTGCTCTTTGTTACTATACACATCAGCTGATAAGGAATTGACAGAGCACAGGTTGACAGTGGGCCAGTGGAGTTGGCCACCTTGATCTTAGAATTTCTAAACAAACAAGCCAGTAATGCCTTCAGTTTAGAAGTTCACTCATTGCATCATATGATACTCTGAGATATCGAAATTATCTGCATTTAATGGAACACGGATTCATGTTCAGATTTCCCTGGCTGTCACAAATATCTTTAAACTGGTTTCTTTTGACCTAGGATATAAAAAGGTTCATACATTGGCTCGCTTGCTGTGTTCTTGTCTATTATGTCTCTACCCCTCCATTCTTTCCCAAGCCATTTATTTCCTAAAGAAATGAGTTATGTGTTCTGCAGAAATTCTAACGTTCTGGGTGTGGCCGATTGCTTCCTAAAGTTATTTAACTTGGCAACATTTGACATTTATGTTTTAAAAACTAGAAGTTAGATCTTGATTAGGTTTAGGTTCAATTTGTGTTTTTTTGTTTTTTTGTTTTTATAAGACTACTTCATAGGTTGTGAGCAGGGCATTCATAATGTGTTATATTAGGAAGACTTTGTTGTCTGACTCTCTTTTTAGTAAATTACAGTTGGTTGGTGGGTCTAGGTGTTAATAACCTTTTAACTTCTCTTTCAGAAAAGCTTGATTCTTTGCTCTCCGACTACGATATCCTCTCTCTATCTAATATCCAGCAGCACTCGGTAAGAAAAAGGGATCTACAGGCCTCGACGCATTTGGAAACACTACTCACCTTTTCAGCGCTGAAAAGGTAATTTGAGTGATTGATTTGGGGCAAGGGGACTTGGTTTGGCAAAAGTGGAAAAATAAGTCCCCTCCATTGATTGATTGATTGATTATTTATTTATTTATTGTTTTTTAGTATAGTTGTCATATATTAGTTTCAGATATATATGGGTTTCTGCTGAAGTCTTAGGAAATTACAGTTTTAAGGATTTGTAATTGATATAATTAGTCTGTTGTGATTCTTACATAGTGTATGGCTTATTCTAAAATTCATGCTGATGATTATTTTAAAAAGTTAAATGGGTATTTCAAAGATACTAATGATGGTAATAATATATGGACTCTAACAAAGAATTTTAATTAATCGAATGATTATAATACTTATTTTTTTGTACAACTTTAGAACCATCAGTTGAGTACTAAGTACTACCTTTATTTTATTTATGAAGACACTGAGTTTTAGAGTTAAAGGATTTTGTTCACTACCCCACAGCCTAGTTAGTAGTGAGCGGGGTCTAGACTTTTCACATCATAGCATAAATTGTTAGATGTGGTCTATGTGGGCAGTAATTTTAGTGTCTCTTGTTTTGCAGATGTAATTCTGTTAGATAATTATAGGCCTCTTTCTGCAGTCTTTTTAGGGAGCTTTACTGATATCAAAAAAACACTGGGAGAACATAAATAGGCTGAATTTTTCTTTATTCATAGGATAGGCCTTCTCCAACAAATGTTTTATAAAATAAAAATAATATACTTATCCCTCAGAGGCCTGCGGAGATTAGTTCCGGAATCCCCTGCGGATACCAAAACCAGTGGATGCTCAAGAATCTTTATATAGAATGGCATAGTATTTGCACACAACCTACATCCTCTTGTATGCTTTAAATTATCTCTAGATTACTTATAATACCTAATACAGTATAAATGCTATCCAAATAGTTACCTGTATTGTTTAGAGAATAATAATAAGAAAAAAGTGTGTACATGTTCAGTACAGATGCAACCAACCTTAATAGGCCTAACTACATAGTACGTGCCAGCAACAATGTAACTTTTTAATAAATATGTTGATCCATGGTTGGTTGAATCCCTGTATGTGGATACGGAAGGTTGACTGGTGTTAAAAAACAAACTACAGAGGGTATAAGAAGTTTTCACTTCTTCCGAACTCAGTCACACTTCTCAGACACAGACAGGTTTCCGGCACAGACTTCCAAAAGATTTTAATGCATATTTTTTGCATTTAGATCTGTGCATATGTACGTGATAGGGATAACAGATTTACCTTATTTTTAACAGCCACATAAATAAGTTGCATAGAATTGCAACGATTTATTGACCAGTACCCTAAAGATATTGTTTAAAAACCAAAGTGATTTTTTTCTGTAAGAGACAATGCTCAATTGAATATCTTTGTAAATATTCCTTGTCTAGGTCTTTTTATAGGATGCATTCCTCAAAGGAGAATGGGTCAAGTATACACATATTCTAAATGTTTATTGATACCATGTTTCCTCCTAAAGATGTCAGATCAGTTTATTCACCCTGCAGCTTTATATGCGTTTACCTGTTTCTTATTACCCTTGCCAGCACTAGGTTTTATCAGCCTTTAACTCTTGCCCTTCTGAAAGGGGGTGATAGCTCATACTTGTTTTGATTTTCATTTTGTGTGAAATTGAGCATCTTTTCATGTGTTTATAGTCATTTATTTCTCTCTGTTTGCCTTTTCGTATCCTTTTACCTTTTTTTTGGGGGGGGGTTTATCATTTTGCTTACTGAATTGTAGTGCTTAGTATATTTATCACATGTGTAACTAATATTTTGTGCAAATATCTTTTTACTGTATCTTTTTATTTTTCCTAGTTATTGCCATCATCCTTAGGTAATTTTTAAATAATTTCTTTCTGTTAGATTTCATGTCAAAATATTGCAATATTGGTTATCTAGCTTGCAGGCCTATAGCAAATTGGAGCACAGTGGTGATAATAATAATAGCTACAGTTTATCAGGTGCTTATTTTGTATAATTTACTTCATTAGGTACTTTGCATGTATTATCTCTAATTCTGACATACTCTACACAGAAGTTTTTGTTACTTCCTTTTTGAAGGCAAAAAAAAAAAAAAAAGCTCAGAGGAGTTAGGTAACTTGCCCAAGGTTACTCAGCTAGTAAATGAAAGATAAAGAATTTGAACACAAGTCCGACTCCAAAACTTGTATTATTCCTGCTACACTGATGAATACTTTGGTGAAGGATGGATAGTGGAAATGAGTAGGAGCAATAGAAGAGAAGGGGAAACTATAAAATGATAACTGAAATTTTAACTTTCTGAGTTTTTTTTTTTTAAAGTTAGATTTGTGGTGGCTTGTAGAATCCTTGCTATAGGGGCAAATAGTGCCATAGCCTTATATACTACTTTTTCATGTTTCACACATGACACTGATTCTTTAAGAAAATGTTAAACAGTATCTGCTTATTATCTTCTCTCTGTATAAGGAAGAGAAATTTGTAACTTCTTATACAGAATTTTCATCTTAAATATTTATTGGGAAATGTATATAACAATGTATGAGAACTTTGTACCAAGTACTCTAAAATAGTTTATTTCATTGAACTCTGGAAACCATTCCCTTGGTAGGTGGTATTATGTCTACTTGTAGATGACAATACTTAGATTCAGAAGTTAAGGTCAAGATCAAACAGTAAGTGGTAGAGACAGAATTCAAGCCAGATTTGTCAGACTCCAAAGCCCATACCCTTCTTTCTATTATACTTTGTTATGAAAGCTTAAAAGAAAAAAATTGAGTTACCTGAAATGATCATTTTATATAGGATTGAATTTAACCTATGTGAAACCACTCATTGATGGTGATGGTAAATGATTAGATTTTCTGTTTTGAGATAGTAGTGGAAAGCCAAATAATTTAAGCAAAAATCATAAAATTAAATTTGAATGTGACTGTTAGCAGTTGAAAAGCATGGAACTATCAAGAGAATATATGATGAGTTAAAAAGTAGCTTTATGGAAAAACTGAAATTTGTCAGGAAGTTACATTTTCTCTTTTTTTAAATAAATCAAATACTGTTATTCTAAAGTAATAAAAAAGTTACAGATATTGTTTTGATACTTTTTTGATAATGTTATAATTTTAAAGTTAGATAGTTGTTCCTCTTATAAGTGAAATATCAAATTATTTGAAGAGGGCTAGAACTGATAAGGAAATGAAAGTGATATATACCCAGCTAAATGGACCATTAAAAATAGATATGAGGTAAAACTTCCAGTAATAAAACAAAATCCCTAGGGATGTAATATACAGCCTGGCAACCATAGTTAATGGTATTATATTGCATATTTAAAGTTGCTAAGAGTAGATCATAAAAGTTCTCATCACAAAAAAATTTGTGACTATATGGTGACAGGTGTTAACTAGAGTTATTGTAATGATCATTTTGTGGTATATTCAAAAAAATAGATATGAAGATAATTTTAACTCAGTGGATTAACACCAGTTTGTAGATACTGTAAATCTTTAAATCCGAAGGCATAAAGATAAATGAAAATGCTAAAAGAAGTCTGTAAGTTCAGGACTTCACATAATTTTGGAAGGATAGAGTAAAGTATAAATTCTGACATATCCTTTTGGAAGTTTTGTAACTCAAAGGTAAAGATTGGAAACTCAGAAAAAAACCAGGAATTTTACCATCATTTGGTTCTTAATCTTTATAACAGCAGATTATTAGTGTAGAAAATGAAGAGTACAATTCAGTGATTTTTCTGGAAAGAACATTAAGTAAAAGTAATATCGAGACTCTAAAGTAAATAATAAGGCATTTATAATACCAATGCTTTTCAGAGTTCACAGCATAGCCGATTGGAAAAAATATAACTGCAGATGTGAGGGAAGATACATTTTGCGATAGCAGGAGAAAATGTTCCAAGGTTTTCTGAAATAATGTTCTATTGTGTCTTTCCCAGTGACCATTAAAAAACCACAGGCAAACTAAAATTACCTTGGTATGCTCAAAAAGTTAAAAATATTTGTTGTCATGGAGACAGTCTCAGTCTAGATTCTTCCTGGCAGTTTAGACTTATGCAAACCCATGAGGGAAGTAACATTTCATATTTTCAGCACCACAGCTGACAAAGTTTGTTCTGTGGCTGAGATGAAAAACATACCTTTCTTTATCTTTGGTGTTCATAGGCACATCGAAAGGGCTCTGCAAATAATAATTGAAAAATTCTTGCTGACCATGCCCAGTTTTTATGTCAGGACTAAAACTTGTAGTAAACAAAAGAATATTGAGCCAACTAAAGAACTGCAGTGTGTATTTTAATGTTAGCATTGTATTTGCCTTGTATTTATTGTCCTCGTGGTATTATGGATTAATTTTTTTCCAGATAGGTTTTTTTTTAGAAGGAGAAGAAAAGCGTGAGTGTTTTTAAATAAAGTAGCATTTTGCTGTGCAAAATTGATTGCTAGAGGCAGCATAATACAGGCTTCTGAAATAAACCAAGTTCAGTTTTCAGTTTCACCATGGAGTATGTTCATTAACCTCCAAGCCTCAATTTTTACTGTGTGGAGTAGAAATAACATGTACAGAGCATCTTGCAATGAGTAGGTGTTCAATAAATGCTGTCTAATAATATCAGTCTTTAATAAGTTTTTAAGACAGCCAGGAATCTTACAGTATTCAGATATGTGTGTTTCCTTACTCTTCAGTCTCTGGAAAAGATGACTGCCTAAGCTCTGTGAACCTTTTTTCTCCAGATTCTTACAACTTAAAGAACTTAGTCTCTTTGACTTAACAGGAGATATAATGCTCTGAGTATCTAGTAAAACAGTAGTAAAAACTTGCATAGTGATTTTATTAATGTCAACTCTTCTCTTAACTTCTTTTAAAGACAGTTGAATTAAATGAAAGTTAGGCTTCTATTTTATGTTCTTAGAGTAAAATATGGATGCATATTTTTTTTTTTTTTTTAAGGCATTTTAAATTATACCTGACATCAAGTACTGAACGCTTTTCCCAAAATTTCAAAGTTGTGGTGGTCGATGGTAAAGATGAAAGCGAATACACCGTCAAATGGCAGGACTTCTTCAGCGGACACGTGGTTGGTTAGTATGGAGCTCGTTTGTTTGCCTTTGTGTCTGGGGTGTTAGATGTGCAGCTCTAACTTGATTCCATACTCTTTTGGTGGGGAGGTAGCGGGTATCAAAGTACTGATATGCTTTATTTTACTTAGATTTTCTGTTTTTAGATAGTGAACTATCTAAGTTTGGAAGCAGAAACATTCAAACAGGAGAATATGGGTATTATCTAGCATGTCATACTAGTTGGCTATTCTGATAGTTAAAATGAATTTCCTCTCAAGTGATAAGAATTTAACCTTTTTTTGTCTCCAAAAGAGGATTGTGGGCTTCCCTTATGAGATTTTAAACAGGGAAGCTAGGAGATAAAATAATTGATTTCATGATTCTGTTATGCACTTATTTAAGAAAATATATCAAGCACTCGTGGTTTATTTCTGGAACTTTTTTCTACAATAGGAAATGAGACATCAAAATCCTCAAATAGTATAGTTCTGGACCTGTATATTCCAAATCATGCTTTCTACTGCCTCTTAGTTCTTTCTTACCCCAAATTAGGTGAAGTTATTCCAGAAGAAAATCTACCCATTTGTTTGTTTTGTTCTGTAATGCACTCTAGATCATTCTCATAAGAGGCTTGAGGGGCAGAGATAGGTTTTAGGTGACTGGAGTCGAGGCTACCTACCCCTTGGGAGTGAGAGTTACCCGGCTGCTTCCCGGGGCCTGTGCATCGTGGTGGCAGGCTGCCACAGTCTTTGGCGGGTTCACTCCGATGAAGGGCTTGGTTGATTTTTAATGGCAATAGTGCATAGTTTATTTTTTTGATATAAATATTTTTTAATAAAACATTTTTCTACATTTTTCTCTTTTAAGGTGAGCCTGACTCTAGGGTTCTGGCCCACATAGGAGACGACGACATCACAATAAGGATCAACACAGATGGGGCAGAGTATAATATAGAGGTAAATCTATGTGTGAACTTTTTCCTTAGGAACATATATCTGATTATTTTTTTCAAATTTCTATTTTAAATGGTTATAACATTGGTTAATAACATAAATTTTAGGTATACAGTATTATAAAATGACATCTGTATACTCAATTGTCTGCTCACCACCTGAAGTCTCGTTTCCTTCTGTTCCCACATACTTGGCCCCCTTTACCCTCATCCTCCCATGACCCCATTTCCCAAACCTTGGTAGCCACCATTCTGTCATCTGTATATGTGAGTTTCTTTTTCGTTTGTTTTATTTGTTCCTTGATGGTTTTTTGTTTTATATCCCATGTATGAGTGAAATCATATGGTTCTTGTTCTTTTATAACTGACTTATTTCACTATATATCTGATTCAAAAAAAGCTGTTTCTCAGTTGTTTTAAGAAGACAGAGGTCTGTAATTATACTTACTTACTTTTCTCCTTGTATTTAAAGTTTTTTACTTTAACCGGGAAAGTCGATGATTTTTTCAAAAGATACTTTTTACAAATACCTAAGATGCTTTCATAAGATGCACCCTGTATTTCTAAGTACCATAATTGAGAACAAGTCACATGTGGGGTTGATAATAGGAAGAGAAAATTTTCTTTCCCTCCTGACTCATTTAGAGTGTATAATTCAATGGTTTTTAGTATGTTCCTAGAGTTATGCAGTCATCACGACGATCAGTGTTAGAGCATTGCCTCACCCCCAGAAGGGGCCCCATACCCTTTAGCAGCCTACCACCTGTTTTGCCCCAATGTCTCTAGCCCTAGGCAACCACTGGTCTACTGGCTGTCTCTTTAGATTTGCTTGGTCATTTCATCTAAATGGAATCACACAGCATGTGGTCCTTCGCAGCAGTCCCCAACCTTTTTGGCTTCAGGGACCAGTGCAGTGCTGCTCTGAGGATCTGATGCCTGATGCTCTGAGGTGGAGCTGAGGCGGTGATGCTGGCGCTGGGGAGCAGCTGCAAATACAGATGAAGCTTCGCTTGCTCGCCTGCCGCTCACCTGCTATGCGGCCCGGTTCCTAACAGGCCATAGAACAGTAATGGTGATACTGATCCGTGGCCCGGAGATTGGGGACCGCTGGTCTTTTATGACTGGCTTCTTAGAATGTTTTCAAGTTCCGTTCATGTTGTAGCATGTGTCAATACTTATTTCTTTTTATTGCCAAATAATATTCTGTTGCATGGATATAACGCATTTTGCTTATCAGTTGGACATTTGGGTGGTTTTCAGTTTTTGGCTATTATGAATAATGCTGCTGTGAATATTTGTGAACGAGTGTTTGTGTGAGCATTTCTTCATTTCACTTGGGTATATGTGTTTAACCTTTTGAGGAACTGCCAGACTGTATTCCATAGTGGCTGCACTTTACATCTCATCATTTTAGATTTGCTGCATTTTATATTACATATAACATTCTTACCAGCAGTATGTGAGGATTCTGATTTCTCCGCCTCCTTGCCAATACTTGTTATTATTTGTATCTTTGATTATAGCCATCCTAGTGGGTATCAGTGTTTTCTTTTGGTTTTAGTTTTTATTTCTATGATGAATATGTAGACATATATAAATTTCATATTTTTTTTGTACATTTCTCACACGCTTTTGGTTCTGATGAGACTAGTATCCTTACAGAGAAGAACTTGGTTTTTGAAATGACAAACTTTTGGGGTAACCTTTCAAGTATGTTAGTTCTGATTTACCACGGCCTTGTAAGTGAAGATTGTTTAAAAACCACTTTCCATGAAACTAATAAGTTTTAGGCATATTGTTACAAGTTTTTAGTCTTCTATCATGAAAATGTGTTTGTTCTTTTCTTTGCCTATAAAGATGTTAAGGAAACTAGAATGAAAATGCACAAGAACAGAAAGCTTATCTAACTTTCATTGCTGTATGTCCATCACCTAGAACAGTGCCTGCATACAATAACTGTTAACAGAGATATTTTTGAGTCAATGAATGGAAAAGGTTATGCATTTTCTCTTCTTCATCTTCTAAAAGATTTTATAACTTGTGGAAAATAATGCTTTTCTGTATACCCAGATACAAAGAGTGAATAATCCATGTATTTATTTACTAGCATGGTAACTCTACAGTAAAAATTGAAATGATTAATTTTTGATAAAATGACTAGTCAATTTACTTAACCCGGAAATGAATGTTAGTGAAAAAAATAAAAGGATGTTGTAAGAATTTATTGTTTAAGAATTCTTATGTTTTCCATCTCAATTATATATGTTTTCTATTTTAGCCACTTTGGAGACTAATTAATGATACTAATGACAAAAGAATGTTAGCTTATAAATCTGAAGATATCAAGAATGTTTCACGTTTGCAGTCTCCAAAAGTGTGTGGTTATATAAAGGCGGGTAATGAAGATTTGCTTCCAGAAGGACTAGTGGACAAAGAGCCCCCTGATGGTAAGACTTCAAAAATATATTTCAAATAAGAAACAGGCATTACAGTTGTCTTCGACAGGGGTAGTATTAATTAATAAAAAAATAACATGATTATCAAGTAACTATAATATTTGGCTTGAAAATAGAGTTCAGAAATTCTTAAGTTAATTCTTTAGACAAAAGAATTAATATAAGTAAGAATGTAAGTAAGAATATAATATAAGAAATGAAAACTAGACAATAACGATAACAATAAAGATTGGATTTTTTTAAAAGAAGATTGGGGAAAGTGGAATTGTGTAATCTGAGAACATATTTTATATTTGCAAGTATTTAAAAATGACAAAATAATACTACTGAAAAACAAGATTATAAGAAGTTGGTAGCAAGAGAGATCTACACTGTTCAGAAAGAAGGCTATCAGTCTCGCTACAGATCAGTGTTAGAGTCATTTGAAAACAACCGTCTTGGAGAAATAGTCTACTGTGCTGTTTTGAAAACTTTAGAAAATATTACTAGCGTTTTAATATATAAAGTTCTTAAACAATTTGATTATTTGATAAGAAAAACGACCTATTAACACCAACTCATTTTTAATATTTGATTATCCTGATATTTTTATCATTACTTTGATTAATTCATGGACTTCTTCCAGAATAAAATGACAGCTTCATAGGCTGGCAATGCTTAGGTGATTATTTTACTCTTAAGTACTTTTTAAAGTTTCCTTATTTTAAAAATTAAGGAGGAACTCTTCCTTGGTTTTGAATTCTAGTTTTAAAATCTCATACTGCTTTTCACTTTTCTGTCTTCCTCCAAATTCTTTTTTTGTTCAAGATACCTTTAAGGATACTAAGCTCAAATAAAATTGCTTCAAAAAATATGCTAGATTTAAAGTGTTACTATAAAAAACTCCTGTTTTGATGAATTTTGATTTAATAGTGCGTACAAATTCATATTAGAGCTTGTGCACCGGGTGAAGAGAAGAGCCACGCCCGATCCCATGAGGAACACGTGTAAATTGCTGGTGGTGGCGGATCATCGCTTCTACAGATACATGGGCAGAGGGGAGGAGAGCACAACTACGAACTACCTCGTAAGTATTCGGTATCGGATAAGTAATCGGACCCAAAAAATCATGTTAGATAAATTCCATTTAAGAGAAGACTGCTCCAATGTTAAACATAATGAAACCAGATCTCTTATAGATACTGTATTTCGTAAAATATTTGAGGATTGTCCTCAGGTTCTTATATTACTGCGTAGAGATTCTAGTTTCATGTGTTTGAAAACCTATTTTACCTTTGAACTATTTTCTGCACATTAGAATTTTTATGCTGGTTTAGGGAGAGTTCATAACATAGCACAGGCCTCCCTTCTTTATAAGCAAATTCTTTGAAAATATTACTGCTCTAATGGCAGTGACCTCATTGGTGACATGTATGTATGCTGTAGAGTGGGGGAAAAAAAGTATTTATATGAACCTGTGTGTATTATTTTTGCTTATATGTATATGTCAGAGAAGATCAGTTTGGTGTATATTATAAAAAAATAGCTAGTTATTGGACTATAAGTGTGTGAAGTAGATGGGACTTTCACGGTCATAACCAGCTGTAGGACAGAGATATGCAGGAAAGATTACAGGAGTGTCGACACTGGTTTTAGCATTTACTATTGTAATTTTAAAATCGGGACTCATATGTCATTGACATTTTTATTAGTATGACCTCATCTGTCCTGATAACTTGGCACTGACCAAAATGTCGTTTTGGAAATAAAAGAGAATGCAGCTATTCATGCACAAGAGCCTAGTGCAGTAAAGACGTCTTTCTCATTGCCTCGCTTTTCCATCCTGTTTTATTGGTCCCCTCCCTCACCCTGCTTTCCCTTCGTGTCACGTCCAGTGAAAGAATTTATTATGAGGTTAGTAGGAGTAGTGTGTGAAGTCATTGTGATTCTTGTTCCTAAGTCAGACCCTTTCTTGAAAAGGTTTCTTAATACGGGCTTTGTGTTAAGGGGCCCCTCTTAATTTACTTCTTTGTACGTCACACCATGAATATGAATGTAATGAGAAGCTTGGTCTTCAAAATCACATTTCTTAGTCCTACAGTTTCTATAGGGAAAACAGTTTTCTGGACCTATAACATGCTTCACAGTTGCACAGACATGCCTCATCTACTCAGTTTTAAACGATAAAATATTCTCTTTGAGGAGACGATGGTGCTGAGCATTTTGTTTTTATAGTGAGAACAGTCCTTTGTTGTCTTCCTGTCCCCTCTACCCACCTAACTGCCTTCCCAAGTCAGAGCACAGAAGAAAGGGGGACTGGTGAGACCTCCGGCCTCCGGCTCCCTCTTCCTGGGCCTCAGCGCTGCACGTGGCCCAGGACGGTGGGGAACGGGGTTCACAGCGTCTGGACTGTGCCTCACTTTTCTGAGGGAGGCGTGTGAGGAACTTGCCAAGAGATGGAGTGAAGACAGATACTTCTTAGGAGAGAATGTTTTAGGTAAATTTGATTGACTGTTAACTCTCATTTTTGTAGTTGACTGGAATGGCAGTTTTTAACAAGCCTATTACTTGATATTTTGGTTTCTTACGCAGTCGACTTCTTGGATTTGTAGTAAACTGTACCACTGTTTATTCTGGTAACAACACTGTTTGGGCCTAGGAATAATTTGTCAGTGATCGAGAGTAACGTCTTAATGCTGGTTTTTATAATTGGTAGAAACTTTTACAATGGCATTTTTTCTAAACTGTTTTTTTTATCCCTGAAGAATTCGTGACATTGCAAAGGGTAGTGAAGACACGCATGTCTTCCTCTCACTCTCTCCCTTATGCCCACAGATAGAGCTGATTGACAGAGTCGATGATATCTATCGGAACACTTCGTGGGACAACGCAGGTTTTAAAGGTTACGGAATACAGATAGAGCAGGTATTTATCAATGCAGGTGGCTTATATTACTCAGCTAAGTTATGTAACGTAAATGTCACTTACATTCAAACTCCAAAACTTACCTTCAACTTTAATCATAAATATTCTCAAATACCAGTGATTTTTATCTGATAAATTTGACAGTTTTTTAATATTATTTATAGATAATGAAGTTTTCTGTTCTTAGACTCCTTTTAAGTAGAAAGCCTTTTTATGCTCCTACGATCTCCCCTTTCTCTGAATTCATGGCCTTTTTATTGCCTCAATTTTCTTTTCTTTGACTATGTCTTTAGTTAGAATCCTAGTGCATATTGTTGACTCTTTAGTTAGAAAAGTTACTCAAAAATACTGTGTACTTTGCAAGGCGTTTATACATATCGAACCGTTAGATCGCTTCTCCCAAAGATCTTCTGATTTCTTATAATCTGTTGATAATCTTTTAATCGAGTACATCTAGCCATGATGTATTAATGCCATCTTAATTATATCAAATAGTAAAAATCATTCCAAATTGATAAGACTGATTAAAAAGACTGTTTTGAAATTGGGTATTACTTTGGACATTTTGTTATGGAAATTGTTGTTTCCATTTTTTCTAGGCTGTTCGTACTAAACTAACCATATTCTTATAGGTTCTGTAGATAGAATGTAGAGATTAAAAAACTTGAAATTATGTATTATACCTGTAAATGTTAAACTTTTATAGTACTTGTAAGAAACTAAGAATTATTTTTCCCTTTTCCATTCTTTTACTGTTTTGCATTTTCTTTTTTTAAGTTATTTGAATAGGTAATAGATACACATGGTACAAAAGCCAGTGAAAAGTAAGTCTCCTCAGCCTTTACCCATTGTCAAACCAGTGTTTTCCGCAGAGACATCCATGTCACTAGTTTCATGTGTATCTTTCCAGAGATATTTTATGTGTGTGTGGCATGTGTGTGTATGTGTGTATATTTGACACTTTGGTGGTACACTGTACTCTTTTGGACCTTGCTTTTTCATTTCATGAATATGTTGATTATTCCATTATGGTACATACAAAGATGCTTCACTTGTTTCAGATAGCTGTGACACGTTTGAGTTTTAGAGGATCAATAAATAAAGCTCTCTTTTGCTTTAGAACTTGGAACCAGTTGAAAAAACAAGTGTAATATAGGAGATAAAAATATCAGCTTCTGTAATGATAGCAGATGGCTTGGGAGATGTGGTTTAGATGTGCAGTCACAGTGGGCTTTCACCTGTTTTATCCCAGAACTGACCCTAGAGCTGCAAGGCCCAGCACAATGAGCTTACCGTGTGGTGGCAGAGCCAACCAGGGTCTACCCTCTGCGGGCTGGCAGAGCCAGAAGGGATGCCAGAAACAACAGAGCTGAGCATGGCTTTGCTCCATTTCCCAAACTCGTCAGTCGATGTTTCATCTCCTTTAGACAGAAGCCTTTGTTCTTTTGTTTTTTTTTTTTTTATAAAGCAGCATTAATACGTATTTGTACTGTTTGTACAAGGAAAAGCCCCTATTCTCCATAATCTTTGTTCCGGTGATATACAGTGAGGTACACCTTACTGTTCTATGTCTCTGCATCATTGACTGTAGTTGAAATAACTATTTTAGGCTCATGGAACCCAAGTTCTCATTTTTTCCAACTAAATGAAGAAGAAACGAAAATTTGGGAGGACATTTATAAATTTATAAATCATTCATTGATCTGTGTTTTCCATATCATATGCTTCTTACTTTGTTTTCAAACATTGAATATTTAGAGCTGAAGAATTTTCTGGAATTTTGGATCTAAAACATTTATTCTAGAATTGTAGATAGTCTTACTTTGAATACCTCAAACAGTGCAGTTTTCAGAGTCGGTGGCTGTTTTTCAAGTGTTCTAAGTGTATTATCTCTTTAAGTATAGATTCGCATTCTCAAGTCTCCACAAGAGGTAAAACCTGGTGAAAGGCACTACAATATGGCAAAAAGTTACCCAAATGAAGAAAAGGATGCTTGGGATGTGAAGATGTTGCTCGAGGTGGGTTGTGGAATCCTGGGTGTGATGCTGTTCTTACCGCTTTGTGATTTCAAATGTGCGGGTCATGGACTTTTTACATTGGAGACCGTAGGTTGTTAACAGTAGAGGTTTTTAAAGTAATACGTGGAGCCTTTTTAAGAAAAGAAAAATCCTCCCAAAGCACCAGTGCTGGCTTAAATGGATTTCGATCTTAATTTTAGTAACATAAAACTAGGTATATGTGCTTTCCTGTAAGTTTATATTTATAATTCCTATACATTGGGGGCTGCGACCCACTGAGGAGGTGTCAAAGTGTGGAGCCTGACAGCTGGACCGTCCCCAGTGCTGGGCTGCTCTTAGTTTTCGAGAACTTCTTTAAAAAGCTTCCAAGCTCTTCCCTTTTGTCCAGCCCCCACCCCGTCAGATGACAGCCTGCTTGTCCCCTGCATCGATGGGCAGGACCTGAGGGGAAGGAGCACTGTACTGCACGGTTTGGTGCAGACCCGCAGTCAGTCGTAGAGGACTGTTCTAGAATATTTGGTAGAAACATTCTTCAGTCTGATGTAATAATCTAATTAAGAATGCTTTTCATTTTCATAGCAATTTAGCTTTGACATAGCTGAAGAAGCATCTAAAGTCTGCCTAGCTCATCTTTTCACGTACCAGGATTTCGATATGGGGACTCTTGGATTAGCTTACGTCGGGTCTCCCAGAGCCAACAGTCACGGTGGTGTCTGTCCAAAGGGTAAGCTTTCCGTCTGGAGTGGGTTTGCGGGGGTAGCAAGCCGATGGGTCATGTTACAACTCTGTACCGAGCAAGCAATTTGTCTCTTTCCTTTTTCTTTAGCTTATTATAGTCCAATTGGAAAGAAAAATATCTATTTGAATAGTGGTTTGACCAGCACAAAAAATTATGGTAAAACCATCCTTACAAAGGTATGTTCTTTTATTTTTTAAAAGTACAGATTCTGAGTTTATTGTAGTAGTTGGACGTTTATGTAGGTATTTTTAAAAACAGTAATACGTCTTGGGTTTTCTTGTTTCGGCCTAAAAAATCACATATTCTTTGGTGGGAAATATGAACGCGAAAGGTATAAAGAATAAAATAAAAGTTACTTGTCAAACCTCTTTGAGAGCCATGAGGGTCATTGTCTTTCCTGACGACATCCCCCCAATGCCCTTTGGGTGCTTGTTCCTGGTCTTGCAGTGTTGTCCCCAGACTCATTTCCTGGACCCATGTGTCCTCTCGGTTCACACCGTCATTTTGGCGTGGCATATCCTCCAGGAGCTTCCAAAGAAAGGGTGCCCGAGAGGCACATGCCTGAGATTTCGCGTATCTGGAAACGTCTTGACCCCCTCTGAGACTTGATTGTTAATGTAGGCGCGTAGATTCTCTCTCCTTGCATCCGAAGGCGCCGCTCCATTGGCTGTCGATGTTTTGTTTTGTTTTCCTGTTAAAGAGCCTGAACTCATTCCAGTTTTTTATCTTTAGTATGTGACCTGTTCGTTTTCCCTCTAGAAGATTTCAGGATCTTGTTTTTGCCCAGATATATCCATTAGGAATGTGTTAGGCACATCCTAGAAAATTTAGGTAACAGAAAGTCTAATAAACAGTGACTTAAATAAGGGGTGTGTGTG